TTTTTTTTCAAGGTAGGTCCATCTCACTATTATGGGGCCAATAATATTATAATGAGTAAGCTGAAATGAGCCCAGGGAAAGCTTGTCGGTTCTTTGCAGGCTATTGGACGAGGAAGACAATTTAGGTTATAAGTAAATCTAATGATGCTTTTGCAACCCGCTGTGAAGTCAAACTACGGTGTAATTAACTAATTATTAGTGGGGAGAAGCAAGAGAACAAAAAAGGAGAAAGAATGAAGATTGGGAGAAAAATGATCAAAGAAAGCTTTAGTGTTAGCCGTTGGGAACTGGTATTTTTTTTTTTTTTGGTGGTTATATCAGAAATATTGGACCTCTATTTGCAGTTGTTATAACTTACATGCTTACCACTTGAAGTAACGTTATAGTTGAGATGAACAAAAAGAAAAAAAGGAGTTTCCATTGGAAGGATACAAATGAACAAGCACCCTCTAGTTCAGCAGGTAAGTTGTTTCAAGGCGCATAAACTACACTGAAGAATTGTAAACAGTTTACATCAGCCTAGTAAATAATATATCGGGGGCCAGTGAACAAACACTTCAGAGTTATAAAGATATTGTGGGGGAACTGGTAAATGTGCTGATAGATGATGTGGTGTTGTTGGTAGGATGTGGTGATACTTGACAGATTTAAACCTGACGTCTCATGCTTAAGAGACCAACTCGGATTAGTTTTTATAGGCACACTATAACAACTTGCTTGCTTCGCGTTTTTGTATTTTTCGCGGTTCTAGGGAACTAGTCTGCCATTTTTAATCATTACCCGCGTAGCTGCCCGTCAAGTTAACTGTATTGTGCACCGTGGTTGAGTAAAAGAAAAGAGCACGTGCTGACCCAGTTACTGATTGAACTTGGTGAAGATATGGTTGGGGAAGTAGCGGTAGACATCTGCTGTTGAATTTGTCAACTGATGAAATTCGAGAGCAATAATTGTTCGATTCAATCTAGGCTTCAATCATTGGTTAGTTCCACTATGCCTTCCACAGTGCATTAGTATTGCCAACAAAACTGTCGAGTTCTTTGGTGAAACCAATGAGCAGTGAACACATTTCAACTCAGATTGAAGATTTGATGTAACGTCTTAAAGTAAGGGCCCCTCCCTTGATTACAATAATGTGATTAAAAATATAAATTTAATTTTTATAATTGCTATATAATCATTTTTATTAAATATTTTATTAAAACTTTTCCCTCTTCTTAAGCCAAACACACCCTTAGTGTTTGATTTTTTTAAATAAGATTACCTACAATAAAAAAATACCTATAAGTAATAAAAAAACTTTTTATATGAATAAAATAATGCCTTCAATCACAACAATTCCTTGTAAATTTCTAATTTGATAAATGATTTTCTTATCAAGGGCAACTACAAAGAAACATTTAGACACTTTCAAAGATTGAACCCATGACCTTCCTTAGAAGGATTTTCATGCCCTCACCATTGGCTTAATTTGATAACTTTAATTAAAGGGAAAATTTAAATAAAGGATTCTGGAAGATATTTAATTTCTTCAAAAGATTTCTAATAAGTAAACATTAATAAATTAAGTTATTGTTTTAATAATTATTCAATATGTCTGAGATTCTTTCAAATATTAAATTAGATTTTTCAATGATACCCTACCTTAATTAATTTTTAAACATCAATATTTAACAAGTAAAAAAAAAAAGACAAACTTTTTGACATGTCAATTCAAGGAGAAGGATTGAAAGATGTCACTGCAAAATGAAAAGAAGAATTTAGTTAGTGTCGGTCAGCATGACATGGATATGGTCCTTGGATGATCAACAAATCCACACAGTTCATGGATCGAAGGCTTTCAATTCCATAATTTAGGAGTGAGAAAAGACATTGTTCCATCATTGTGGGCCACGCTTTCCCACCTGGATCCATTGCTGAAACTACCTGTCATTTATTCATTGGTCCTTCCCTTTCTGCCACCAACGTACAACTCAGATGCCTTCCATCTTTATTTTCCGCTCCCATAACTTCTCTCCAGGTTGTTCATAGTTGGGTTTACTTTATTCATAGTTGGGTTTACTTTGTAATCTAAACTATTATTAGGGCTTCTATTTTTTTTTTTAAACGTCATTCACTAACTACAACTACCAGTTGATGGCTCTGCCATACTGAAACCTTCAGCAACGTCATCAATAATAACAGCAAAAAAACTGAATATTGCATGAGAGGATGTATTTTGAAAGAGTTGAAACATGTAAACTGATTTTCCACACTAACAATAATTGGCATACAAGAGGCCAATATTCTGGAAACATATCCAGAAGTGGTGGGATCCAGTTTCTGCAAGAGAAAGAAGAAAAATCTGATGCAAACTCTCAGCTTTTAGAATTATATGCTAGCAGGTACTAGTCATTTCATCCTTATCTCAGCCACTCTATCTTGATTAGGGAATGCATGAAGATGCAAGGAATATCCACGTGCGGATAACTGCTTCTGTAGCTGGCAATGCAAATTGAATCGATGGCACTGAGAATTAGGTACAATCTGATTCAGAAAGACGTGGCCTCTATTTTTCTGCCTTATCTTTTCCTGGAAAACGCTCAAACTGGGGGAAGAAAAAATGGAGAGAACAAAGTGGAGCACGTAGAAATCTGGAAAACCATCCCCTGCTCTCCTACATGTGACTACAACCAAGGAATCTAGTCAAAAAAGATAGACACTAGATATCATAAATTAGTTAAATATATCTCAGCACAAAAAGTTGCTGCCAGGGCTTTCAAATTCTTTCAAATTAACAACGTTCAAACACACACGAGGTAAGCCTATGCTTTGACATGTAATGAGTGAATAGGAAATGGTCCTCCGTTACCATAAAAGTGGCTCCAGCTATGGTACTGGTTGAGCCTTACTCAGTAAAGCTGGGTGGTTCAATTGGTTACTTTAAAAAACAATTCTAGATTCTTGATAATTTGTATACAACGCTCTGACCATAGCCCTTCCAAAGTACCTGATATTCATATTCAAATAATTTCTTCAGATATAAGAATTGTGTTGTATATGCCATCTGGCTTCTCAGTTAAGGTGTGGATGAAATTTTGATGTGGGAATCAAAAAATTAGAACAAGAAGGATGGAGCAAAACAAACGTGAATGACAAACTGTCTACCTTAAAAGAATGACATGCATCGTAAACAGTGACACTATGAAAATCAAGTAATCTGCTTTTCCCAATGCCATGCCACATGATGGAGAGATCATAAATATCTGTAAAGGCGGCTTTCCATGTGATTCAATACGGCATATACCTATCAGCTGGGTAAAATACAGAAAATGACAAGAGATAAAGTAAAATTTAAAAGCTCACGAGTCATTGAAAGGACATGAAACTTTCTTTTCATATATCTTTCCCTGCCTCATCCACGTGGGCGACCTCTGAGAAGTACTATTACAATTCGACGCTTACACATGTAAAAGGTGGCTGAGGTTGCAATTCCAGGCAAAACAAAGTAAACATCATCGTTAAAATTGTCGTTCATTGTGTGACAGAAGTGTCAGGTGATAGCCAAAAAAACAAAAAAAGACCTAGTTTTGCTAGCGGCCCCAAAAATCTTAAACCTTCATTCTCTAGACCTTACCTTTTCCATTTACGGAAAATGCTTCTTCTTATGATCATTCTGGGGATGCTAAGACGATTTAATTGTGGTGGGTGGGTCTCCATTTGATTACATTTCGAGTGACATTAATGCAGTCGTACAATTCCCTTCCTAAACCTATATATTTATGTAGAACAGATACCTAAACTCCAAATAATTTCACAAGTAATTTGCTATTGCAAATACTTTTCAACAAAACATTTAAAAAGTAGAGTAGCAATGTACAATTATGAAGACTCTGTGGACTTGTAAGTGTTACCCCAAACTTCCTGGTCTCATTCAAGACCTGCTGGCAAACAATCACTATAACCATAAGCTTCAATCTTTTTCTGGTTATTAAAATAATTTGTCAAATGATCGCTGTCACCATTAAAAGCTAATTTACTATTCCACATAACCATGATTGAACAAGATAATGTCATGTAGTTATCTGTCACTAAAACAAATTTTTATGTCATAACCTAAGAGAATCATTTTTCTTGAGAGTATATAATGAAACAAAAAATAACAGTTATTAATGTAATGGAATGGGGTGAAGTGAGATGGAATAAAATAATATTTTCTTGTTCGAGAGTTTTATTAAAGGAATGAAAAATTGTATTTAATTATTATTCGAGAATTATTATAAAATTTATATTTGAGTTGGATATAATTATGTTTTTCAATTCTAGCTAGGATGAGAGGAAGTAAAAGAGTAAGAGAGGATGAGAAAGATAGGGGTAATTTTGTAATAATATTATTTATATCAAACCATTTCATCTTTAACCTTCTAAATCAAGGGTAAAAAATGGGTTTAGGATGATTAAGGATGATTTGGAAGGCCATTCCGAGCCATTCTAATCCTTTTATAAAAAAAATTCTAAATAATGGCATAAAATTTTAGTCATTTCACTTCATTTCATTTCATCCAAAAAAAAATCTCAAACACTAAGGGCTCGTTTGGTTTTTATTCTCATTTTTTGTATTTAAAAACTATTTTGTAATAGAATTTTTAAAATTATTTTTTTAAAAAATAAAATAAAAATATATTTAGTTATGTTAATTTAAAAAATATTTTAAAATTAAAAATAAACTGATAGTGATAGTTATAAATGGTTAATGATAGTAATTTATAATAGAAATTGATCAAAATAATTGTAATTTTCAATAATCAAATGTAAAGTATTTAAAAACAAGAAAAAATGAGCAAAAATAACTTGAAGTTGTTTATATTTTTTTAAAAAAATAAAAATAGTTTTGGAAACAATTAAATAAAAATATAACTAAATAAGTTTTAAAATTTTTATTTTCAAAAAAAAATATTTTAAAAAACAAAAAACAAACAAGCCCTAGACGTCTGATTCTATAAATTCCCAGCACGCTTACATAACTGTCATCCAAGCAACCGAGCAGTTGTCTTCTTCTTTGCAGCCGAAGTTCATCCATGATTTCTAGCCGCCAAAGTTCCCCAATGTCTTCCAATTACCCAAGCCATAAAAACCATACCTCAAATGGCTTTCATCAAGGCCAAGTGGTAGTGGTGGCTGTACCTTTTCCAGCTCAAGGCCATCTCAACCAGCTTCTTCATCTCTCTCGCCTGATCTTGGCACACAATATACCAATTCATTATGTTGGCACAGCCACCCACAATCGTCAGGCCACAGTTCGGGTCCAAGGTTGGGACCCAAAATCCATTTCAAACATCCATTTTCATGACTTCGAAGTTCCTCCTTTCGTTACCCCTCCTCCCAACCCCAATTCAGAAACCAAGTTCCCTTCTCATCTCCTTCCTTCCTTTGAGGCCTCCTCACATCTACGCGAGCCCGTGGCTGCACTTCTGCGATCCCTTTCATCTGTTTCTAGAAGGGTTGTTGTGATCCATGACTCCCTAATGGCATCTGTGGTGCAAGATGCCACTGAAATTGCAAATGTTGAGAGCTACACTTTCCACAGCGTCTCTGCCTTTACCATGTTCTTGCATCTCTGGGAGGAAATGCGAAAACCTTTGATAGAAAGCACTCATATCCCTAAAGAAGTTCCTTCTCTTGAAGGGTGCTTCCCAAACCGATTCCTAGATTTCATTGCTTCACAGTATACATTCCATAAATTCAGTGAAGGGTACCTTTACAACACAAACAGGGCAGTAGAAGGTCCCTACATGGAGTTAATAGAACGAATCAGCGGTAGCAAGAAGCACTGGGCTCTAGGACCGCTCAACCCTTTAACCATCGAGAAGAAAAGTAACGAGGCCAGGCACTTCAGCTTGGAGTGGCTTGAAACAGAAACCAAAGTCAGTGATATATGTATCTTTTGGGACAACAACGGCCTTCACAGAGGAACAACTCAAGCAGCTGGCGATCGGATTGGAACGAAGCGAGCAGAAGTTCATCTGGGTACTGAGAGACGCTGATAAAGGCGACGTCTTTAATGGAGAAGTTAGACGAGCTGAGCTTCCGAGGGGATTTGAAGAGAGAGCCGAAGGCATCGGATTGGTGGTGAGAACCTGGGCACCCCAATTGGAAATTCTAAGCCACCCTTCAACGGGAGGGTTTATGAGTCACTGCGGGTGGAATTCAAGCATGGAGAGCATCACTATGGGGGTACCAATAGCAGCATGGCCTATGCACTCGGACCAGCCAAGGAATAGAGTTCTGATGACACAGGTGCTCAAGGTTGGTGTGGTTGTCAAGGATTGGGCTCGCAGAGATGAGATCGTTACCGCTTCAGATATTGAGAATGCTGTGAGGAGATTGATGACGACAAAGGAAGGTGATGAAATGAGGAAGAGGGCAATGAACCTCAAAAATGCTGTGCGAAGGTCGACGGATGAAGGAGGAGCTTCACGTCTGGAAATGGATGCTTTCATTGCTCATATCACTAGATAGTGTGGTTCTACTTGCACACTGGTTCTTGTGCCTTGCCCACCAAATAATTTTATCCAAATAGAATGGGGCAGCTTTCATTGTATGCGAAGGTCAGAAAAACCTTGGCACCAGACCGAAAGGCTCTGCTCTTTCTGTGTCCTTGTGAAGGTTTCCTCAACGACTGTTATTTTGTCCTCCATTTCCAAATTCCAATCCAGTCATCCAGATCTTGAGCATTTTCCCTCCACTAATCAGGTGAGTGCGTATGTATATATATATATATATATATATGTATAAACTTTTGTTTGATGTTTCAATCAAAGTGTAAAAATGATCATATCACAAGTTTGCCTATATTGCCATTACATTATTCCTGCTATTTTCTTTTTTATATTTTGTTGCCATTCTTTAAAAAAAAAAAATTGAAGGCCACCAAAAAATCTGTGCAATAAATAACAGAATCAAATGTATTAGAATTTAATAAATTTTTATAACCTAGAGGTGGATCATAAAAAAAATAATAGAATCAAAAGTATCATGAAATAATTGATAGGCAACCAATTAATACATCTATCTATAAACATACTAAAAAATGACAATCCAATTCTCCACGATAATATCTCTTATTTTTATGATTATATTGTATAGGAATGATTCAAGAAAAACTCATTTTGAATCAGTGCTAGAATTTTAAGAGAGTCCGTGTAAACGGACAACTTCTAGTATCTCTTGCTTTCATGAACGTAAACGTTCGCTTTCTGTTGCCATTCCCTAGTGTCTCACTCCCACAAATATTCAAGTGACCATTCCTTTACGATGAGGGGAAAATATCCCTCGACACTTTTTTCAGTGACGACGGAGCCTATATTCCCCTGGTACCTTTTTTTCTTTTTGGTTTAAGAAACCTATATTCCTCTGGACATGGATAGAGCGGTAATTCAGTCAAGTCCGACGGGCTAGTCCGAATTGGCCCAAAAAATTTTAGGGTCAGGCTTAAAAAAAAGTTTTTTTTATGTTCGGGTCTATTCGGCCGGCCCGAATAGGCCCGAATACCCGAATAAAAAAAATATATTTTAAAAAAATATATATAATATAATAAATATTAATTAATTCTTTAAGTTTTAGATCATTTTATACTAAAATACCATATATTTGAGTCCTAGACATCATTTAAGTATTAAAAAAATATATTTTATATTTTTTATAAAATAAAATAATTAATTTCAAATAAAAAATAATTAAAAATAATTTTAAAAATTAAATTCGGGTATTCGGACCGCCCGAAAGCCGGAATGAATTGGGCCGGGCTTGGTTATTCGGGCCTTTCGAGGAGTCGGGTTTTTCGGGTTCGGGCCTATTGGGCCGAATCCGAATAAGCCACCCGCCCGAATTCTCGGCTCTAGACATGGAAGCTCTAAAGCCTGAATATTATTGAGTTTTTGGCTAGATTTGAAAGCCTTTTTTTTTTTTAAAAATTTAAATTTGTCACTATTATATTTATGTTCTAGGTACAAATTAAAGTGGTCTAAAATTCAAAATAAATAATACAAATCATAAATTTAATCCAAATATTTAAAATACGATATTTTTTTAGGATTAAAATAAATGAACTTGATCAGATAGCCTGAGTTTGAACGTGTTTTTTTCAAAACTTAAAACTTAAAAAGATCAAATTCAAAGCCCTTTATATAAAAATATCACCTATATTACTGGCTCTACTTATCAAACTCAATTGCTAATTGTTGCTGCTAAAAACAAAACACATTTTATTTTTTTGCCCTTTATACAATTATTGCGAACACGTGCACTCGCATTCTCCTTTGAAATTCTATCTATACTACCCATGCCTAATTGTTGCAGCTCAAAACAACACATTTTTTTTTCTTTTGTATAACTGCTATGTGATATCTGATGTTATTGAGTTGGATTATATTTTCATTCAAAATTTAATCAACAAAAATTACTTTTCACTAGTATAACCTGATCTGTCTGGGTAAGAATCCTAACGTCGGCCGAAAAAAGGTAAGGAATCCTAAACCATAGGCCCAATAATTATACATAACTATGGAGGAGGCAATGGACAATATAATTTATATGCAAACAAACATTATATTTCTCACGTCATTTGCACGAATGAATTTACACATCACCTAATTGTAGAAGATGCCATTTGATTTAAACGGCCAATGAACCAAGAACTTCAGCCAGCTCAACTAAAATGATGACATTACAGAGCGCAGTATCATCAGTGTACTCAAAACTTGTAAATGATAGCATTACTGTACATAGCATCAACTTTCGAACATGTATCCAGCCTACTCAACTAAAAAGAATCAAGAATGAAGGTTTCATTCTTAACTATGATTGTCCTGCTTCATAAGCATCTAATTTTTTTGGATGTAGCCACTGATGACAAAGCAAAATAAAAGGAGAAAAATAAAAATAAATACAATTCAGGGTAGAGCAAGAAGTTCTACCTTGTCAAAGGAATATCTGACTTGTCCATTCTCAACAAGAGAAATTTTTAGAGGAGTGTCATTACTTCCCAAGGACTTCACTTTCTGCTCTTGCTGGGGACGACCCCTTCCAAATGAAAATGTGAATAATTTCAAAATATATGCGTTTGAGAAAAAAAGAGGAGGAAAATGTGAAGCTATTCCTGCAGCATGTCAATATCAAGGATACACTACCAAAAAAAAAAGAGAGAGCTATATGTAGCACCATTTATATAGTGATTATTTCAATAAATATTGTTATATAAAAGAGGCCAAATTTTAGTTTTATTAACTTTTGTTTATCTATATGTTGAATTTATTGATAGAACAAACTGATGGAACCCATTCTCTCAATATCACAGTGTATATGCAATAGTGTTGGTATACATGATAGAATGAACTATTTTGCATTATGGAGTTTTTCATTTGTTTTTTTATATTGGGTTGTTATTTGAGGTATTAATTATTTGTTTTTTAATATGATGATGCTTTTTCCTTTTGCCTCAAATTGTGATGAGATTGGGTTGTTGTCTTTGAGTTTATTATTAAAATTGGTGCTGTGTTATTACTCTATTTTTGTTGTAGAAAACTGGCATTATTATGCCAGGAAAAATTCATTTTTTTATCATTATGCAGATGATTTTTTTATTATTAGTTTTGCATATGTTTCAAAGTTTTTTTTTAAATAGTATGACTAGATGGCATAAGGCTTGGGGTATAACAATTCATTATGCTATTAGAATTTTTTCAAATGTAATGGGACATAATCAAAATCATGTTTAATGTAATAGTATTGATCCAATAATTAGAGAAGGATACAATATGTGATAGCTTTTGGCTCAAGCATTAATTCTTTCTTGCTTTAACTATCCTAATTGGCATTGAATTGATTATCATGTTTTCTTTTTAAATGATTAACACTGGATTGACATTATAAACAAAAGATGGAGGTTTGTTAGATGTACATCTCAATAATAGTGAGATGGAGTTCAAGAATTCATTAGTTTTGTACGAGAACATTTGAAAGATCTAAAAATAATTATTTGTCCCTGTTTGAAATGTAATTTTGTGATGTATGCTCCTCCACAAAAACTTGAAGATCACTTGGTGGAATTTACAATCAGTTAGAGTTATAAGTGTTGGACATTACATAAGGAGACGCCAGATGAGATTAATTATAGTCAGTGCCATAGTGAAAGTTGTCATTCCCTTAATTTCAACACAAGTGCACATACATTTGACCATCTGGAAGAGTTGGAAGATAACTTGGAAGAGGTACTTGAAGATTTTCCAGAAATATTATAGAGGTTGAAGAGTGATGCAGATACACCTTTGTATGAAGGTAATGAATATACAATATTATCTATAATATTCAGATTCTACAACTTGAAGGCAAAACATGGGTGGCGCAACTCAAGCTTCTCAAAAAATCTCTATATCATAAAAGAAATACTACCGAAGTTCAACAAGTTTCCAAGCCGAGCATATGAGGCAAAATAAGTCTTATACTCTATTGGCCTGAGCTATAATAAGATACATGCTTGCATCAATGACTATGTTTTGTTCAAGGGGGAATATGAATCGTTGACCAGTGTCCTAAGTGCATGACACCATGTTGCAAAAAGAATGAGAATAATTCAAAAAAAGCAATGTGGTATTTTTCAATCATAACAAGATTCATTTGTATTTGATTTTTTTCAATCAAGTTATTTTTCTATAATACATGCTAATATGCCATGATTGTGATAAGGATCATTGGATACTACTTGTGATCCAACAAATAGAGGCTTGATTTGGCATCTCGATCCCCTTGGAGGGCAACCAGATAATCAAAAACTAATCATAATCATGTTCAATAAGTAAGTTAATTAATTTTTTCTTTTACATGTAAATAATTATTTTTATTTGGTCTTTGATATAAAGTTTCATATTGGATTGTAGGGTTGTCCACGTGTTCCGTAACCAAAAAGAGTTACCTTCCATCCATAATAATACTAAAAATTATGAGGGTGCATTTGAATGGACGATAATTAAGGTATACATTTATTCTAAATTTAATTATCTTATCAAATTTAACTTATTATATTTTAATTAATTAATTATTTTTTGTTTGATCAAAAAAGTCCACAACAATATAACAAGACTATGGATTTTGACTACAACATCATGAGGTATATAAAAGACAAAGTTGATCATGCGTCAAATGATAAAATTTTGTCTGACCAAATGTATCTTTAATCTTTACTATATTAATTTTAATAATTTACATTATAATACACACATCATATACTTAAACTTGATTTTTGTCGTTATATATGTTTAGCTTAATAGTATTTCAAGAATGCATTTGTAAAGGAATATACTATAGCTAACATTAAAGAAGTTCTCAAAAAGTTTTCACATGATTTGTTCAAGCAATGAGTAAAATATTAAAGATTGGGAACTTGAATGGTCACAACCATCAGCTTGCTTAATTTTGACTCATTATATAAGTCACTTAAGTTCTTTATACTTTGGCCAATTTTACTTTTACTTGGCAAATTTCTATTTATAACTACTTTAGTGTATAGGTCTTTTTTTGAAAAAATTTAAGGTACTTTTAAATAGATTATAGAGTTGTTATAGATTTCAATAATTTTGATTTTAATTGCCTACAAAATTTGGTTGAAATTAGAACTTTGTTATTGGATTGTAATTCTAGGAATATCTATATTTCGTTTTATGGGGGGTTGCCCGAAATTCAACCTCCCTATTGAAAAAAAAAAAACACTAAATTATCATTACATAGTTTAATATATAATAGTTATAACAAAAACCCCTATATGGTCCACTTGAATACCTATGTAAAATGATCAAAACTGAGCCTAACTATACAATGGTTTTTAT